CGTTTCAATACCCTCAGGTCACAAAGTACTGAGATTTTCAGAAGCAAGCCAGTCACGGTGTCTACTGCAGAAAAGCAGCTTGGATCATTCACTCTATTCTGAACAAAATCTCCAGTCTCAATTTATAGCTGCTTCTGTTTGCCATTTAATGCTCTTGGCAGAACTCCACTGAAGCCAATATCCTCCACATCCTAAAGTCAGACCCCATATATAGTTGATGGTAACCCCTCTGGACAAACTGACAGATGCATGACTTCCTTCTTTGTCAGAAAATAGAAGTTATAACTATCAGTCTATACAACTACCCAAATAAAGTTCTGCTATGTCTTTATACAATCTCAGTCATTAACCCTGCTTCCTACATGAGTGACTTGGGAGGGCTCCATCAGAGCTCTGTCAAAGCCAGTAGAGTTATGCTGATTCATGCCAACTGCTAACCACACTTTCCCCCTTTCTCCCCCTTTCCTTCATATGTACAGGATGACAGACACTCTGCTCATTACAGCTGTTCTTATGCACTAAATCCAGCAAAGCTCAGCCTGCTCAAGAAACTTTGCTAACAGTAATCCACAGCTCCTCTCCCTCTGTCAGGTCTGTAGTAGCCAGTCAGAAGAGACTTTAGTAGTCAAAGGGTTTTGCCTTTCAGCTGCTAACATTCCCCATGTTTTATTCAGATATGATTTTACTGTCTGTTAAAAGTGTGAAAACCTATCTCCCCAAAGGCTGAATGTAGCCTATGTCTTCATTACAAATGACCTGCACCCTGTTGCTTTTGGTTTTTGTGCCCTCCTCCAGGCCAACCCTTATTACTGTCATCTGAGCATTTGCTATTTATTTCTATTTTCCCTAAATCTGGGGTTGCTGAAAGCTGAGAAAATAACATGTAAAATCCTCACATTATATTTCTCATTTCTTACAATCTTTTCAAAAAGAACTGAATGGACTTTTTTTTCTTACCCAGCATGTCCATTCTCACATCACTGAAGTATGTGTTAGTCTGTAGGCCATGAAAGGTCTTTCTGGTCTGCAACAAGGGAAGAGTTCCTTATCCCCTGTTCCAGAGGTGTTATAAGACATGTGTCTATGAGTCATGTAATATGCAACTCTTCTGCGGGAAAAAATAGCAAGGTGCTGTCAGAAGAGCATTTTTCAGGCAATCTGCACACCCTGCATGTGTTGGGAAAGTGAACATATGAATGATGTTTTGAATGATCCATTTGCTTTACATAAAAAGTGAACAAATGGAGTACCTATGAAGATGGCACTTCAGCAGCAATGACAGATTAAACAGGGTGTGCCAATTTGTATGACTAGAAACGTCACCAGATGCAAGGCAATACATGGAGAAGCTTCTGCAACTGGGAGAGCCAGGTGACGAACATTCTTCCAAAATGAGCTTGTCAAAGTGCTGCAAACAGCCTTAGTCTGTCAGAGATATTATAGGAAAGTAGACATGGCCTGATAAAAGCTTGTACTTCTATCAGGTGCTGTGACACCTTGTGTAAAGTTTCAGAATGAAACAGAAGAGAAACCTCATTACCACTCTCAAGAACATGGTTGCTAGAGTGGCTCTGTATTGGTTTATACCAGCAAAAAACCTGCATGAAGCTCTTTGAGGGATCTTTTTTAAAATACTTTCCTAGAAAGGGAATTCCTACTGACGCTGCATATGTATAGTAGTTGCTGAAAGTTAAATGACCTTCACAAGCACAAAGGACTCTGCACTGACACCCATGACATTTGTCTACATATGTAGGAGAGTCCATTTGTTCCTGTGATGTTTTCAGGACCTTCCAGATAATCCAGAAATTTACATATACAATCAGGTCTTTATAGAAAAGACTGAGTCTGGAATGAAAGGAAGTTCCCTGGAAGGGGACATTTCTGCCAATATGGATAACAAGAACTCTTCATATTGCAGGTTCTGTCTTCATTTTAGCCTTCACAGGTGCTGGATCTCTGTTTCCCATGATTAGCTCAGGGGCAAGTTGTGTAAGTACGAAGGTAGAATCACTTTAAAAAATCTCCTCTAGAGACTTCACCTTCTCAGAGCATCTACTGCATTCATTGCTAAGTGAGTCCATGGCCTGAAGATCATCTCTGACTGCCTAACATAACCAGAACCATGGTGTGAAATTATAATGATGGCAAAAATAGTTTTTAAAAAAATCCAAGCATCCTCTGAAATCCAGGAGGTCAAGAATCTTGGACTAATAGGAGCAATTATAGGACAAGTTCATGAGATCATACTGTCACTTGCATTTGTATTCAGGGTGAATGATAGAGTTTGGCAGAAGCAATCAGTGACCTTGGAAGAGGACCTTTTTTAGTGCAGAGAAAGCTCTGGCTGGATTTTGTCTCTGATATCAGCAGAGATCCCAAGGAGCATAACCCCAACACTTCACCTTGAACTAGAACACTTCCAGTGACTACTAGCTGCAATCAAAGATCTTTGCCCTCCTTCAGGGAAAAGGCTGGATTAGACTCAGGAGAAAATATCTAAACAAACCCATGTAACTGGGTGCATAATCTCCCTATGCTATTTAACACTGGGAAGAACTTAGCTGGAGTTATTGTGATTGATATCCAGCATGTGTCAGTAAACCTGTGGGATCTCTTGGGAGAATTCACTGAGCACTGGATTCTGTCCATAATATGCTGCTTTTTTTTTTTTTTCAAGAAAGAGAAGAATTAAAAGATAGTTGATAATTATTTTTGGCTATATGATCAAGATACAGAATTAAAAAAAAAAAAAAATTCCCCCCCTCCCTAACAGGGCTAGGAAAAGCAGCAGTGAGCTTAAACAGCAGCAAGAGAAATTTAGGATAAACATAAGGTAATGTTTCCTGGGTGGAAAGGACAGCCAACTGTTCCACCACTGGAGGACTGTAAAGAGTAGGTTAGATAAATTGATCATGAAAGACACAAAATCCTGCCAGGAGAAAAGACAGAGAGTAGGTTGCCTCTTTTGTCTCTATTTTCAAATTTCTAGGAGATTTTGGGAGTCTTTCTGTTGAAGTGGCTTTAGCTGCTTGATAATGTCTTCCTTGGCAAGGCACAAAGCAAAATTCCAGTGAACGTGTCAACCAGCAGTGACTGTTTGGTATGAATGCAAAATACAGACATAGTGCTAGAAGATGCCCAAGTCCTTGGGATATACGGCAAAGGATTGAACAAAACAAAACAAAACAAAAAAACCACAAACAAACAAAAAAACCTAGGTCCTGGGATTTAAAAACTTCACTTCTGACCCTGTTTTTCTAAACAGCACCTCAATCTTTCATCTTCTATTGCATGTGTGTACAACTATAACATATAGAAAAAAAGGAACAAGTAGGGGGAAAAAAGAGTGCTTCTGAGCAGTGAAGAGAATTATTGTATTTGTGCTTATGGGAGATGCAGACATGCTGCAGTGATTGCAGTGTTGGATGGAAAAAAGTATTTATTCTGAAATTACAAGTCACCTGGTCCTTGACCCTGTCTTCCCAGGAAATCAATGTCGTACCTGGCATTATGCATGCCCCTAAATTTTAGCTACCTTTGACATCTAGTTATTCTCAGCTTGTATTGAAGTATTTCATTCATCAGTTCAAGTTTTCCCTGGGTTTTTGTAGAAATTCTTTTTTTTTTTTTTAAGTTTTCTCATGTTGAAAATTATTTCCTTATTCACCTGGTAGCTTTCTGACAGCTTTTGTTAAAGAACAAAAGGTGGCTTATCTCCTTCTTTACTGATAATATCACCTCAACTTTAGCATGTTTCCAAGCTGCTGTGCTTTGTTTTCTGTATGCTTTTAATTACAGCTCTTGTACCTTTGGAAGAGTGAGGTTTGCTTCCTTCCCTCCTAAGAGCTGCTCTGTTTCCCCTAAAGCTTTTATACTCTTGTCCCCTTCCTATCTTGGTATTGACAGGATCTTCATTGCTATCTGATGCTGTCACCTCTCATTCTTTAATGATGTCTGTCTCAGAAAAGTGCTTCTTTGAGGATGACTTCTGTATGTATTGTATTTTGGAGCAGGGCCAGTGCCATCCTCAGATTCTCAGTCACTGTGCCCCCACCATGGCACAAGAAGGTCCATCTCAGTTATAGTCCATGTGTGCCATGAACCTCTCGAGCTGCACCAAAGACAAAGAGAAGTTTGGATCACCTAAATTTAGCAATTAGCATGCTAGCCAGTGCCAGGAACATCCCAAGGTCCTTTGGCAGCACTAGCTGTTAGCAAGAGATATGCCTTAACTGCCAGGAGAGCAAGGACAGGCTGGAGGATGGGGCTTTGTCTCCCTGCAACCCCTTCCTTGTAGAAGTGTTTTCTTGTCATGCTTCCTCACAGACAAAGTTAATCTGTCCTTACTAACATACAGCTACCACTGGACGATGTTTCCTAGGCAACGTTCCTATGGAAAAGCAGAGTAACCACCATTCTCACCTTGCTCTTGTGGACCCAAGCTATAATTTCATTTATTATTCAAAAATGTGGTCACCACTATGCAAGTGAAAAAGAAGATGAAGTAGCCTCTGCTATTTCACAGGAGCCACAAGCTGGTCTTTACACACTGCTCTCGACAGCACAGGTGTGAAGGTGCTCCATAAGCTCCTAATCAGTCCTATGAAAATTAGCATCAGCTATTTTTTTTAACAATACAAATTTTTCCACATTTTTCATCCAATTGCAGAACTCCTATCAGCTAGGTGGTCCACAGCTGAATGAACCATTACTAGTCTTCTTATTTAAACTAGCTGTAACATCTAGGACAGCAGCCCTACATGGGGGTGACAATAGTCTCCAAGCTCTGTTGCAGAAGGCTTGTGCTGATCCCTGAGGTCAAAGTAACACACTCCAAATGCTCACAGCACTGCACAAACCCTGCTGTTGAAGTGCTCCCCTCTTCGCCATGTCTGTCTCCAGGGCACTGTGAAATTTTATTTTTGTAAACTAATCCAACCCTGCCTCCCTGATAAGCATGCCTTTAAACTTAATTGTTCTTTTCTTTTTCGAGGAAGAAGAGGAAGAAACTAGCAAGGGAAGCATTGCACGCTGATGCAATCAAGCAGAGGAGAGAAAAGCAAAACCTTTCCAGCAACAGATGGCACCTAAACAAATGATGAACAAGGCAGTTAGTCGATATGTTCGTCCTGTGCTTCCTGGGCTCTTTCTGTCCTCAGATTCTTAACTTGACGGACCGGTGATTGCCCGTTCTTTCTCAAGAAATACCACTAAAGCCTATCAGAGGAACTTGCCGTGTCTATTCTTAGCCTCCAGATCTATTGTGGGAGAGGTGGAGTTCTTCTGCTGTCCGAGACAAAAAAGATCCAGCTGTCTGCAAGCTGATAAAGGCAAAGCTGTGATTTCCATTTATTTTTTCAGTTTCATACATGTGGTGTTGGGCTGCTTCGACTCCCTGTCGCTGCAAGATTTGGCTTATATGAGCAAAACTCGTGTTCCAGGGAGCAGCAGTAGGTAACAGGAGAGCTACCACCACTTTCTTTTTAGAAAAATCACTCCTAAGCAGGAAATAACTCTCCCCTCGCAATCACTGCAATTGTGCACTAGAAGCATATAAAAGAATAAAATAGGTGGTGCGTTTTAGATGGTTCAGACATGCACCTGACGCTAAACAGAGACTGTTATTTTATACTGGGGAGATGTTGATTTGTTCTTTTCTGCTTTATCCTGAACAAGCTATGGGAGAATATGAGCTGCAGAGGGAAGGTGCTGGCCATCAGTGATCCCTGGGGAATTTCTGTTCCAACTCTCCCAGCCTTGAAGCGTTTACCATCACTGTAAAATTATGTAGCTCTCTCTAGAGTGCAGCAGATCCATGCAGCTCAGAGGCCCTGATGGGGCAACTCTGAGTACTTGTATGAGGGAACTCGAGGGCCTCACACACAGAAGATGAGACAATATTGCTGTCTGTATATGGATCTTGCCTATGACCCTGTGCATTCAACAATCTGGAGGAAAAACTCCCTCCCCTTCACACTCCTGGAGGGCTAATGCAGGTCACACATGAATGAAGGCAGCTATTTCACACTTGGCTTGCAGAGGGCACAGCATGCATGTCTGGGGAGCAGAGAGAGGTGGGAATGGGGGAAGGAGGAGGAGGAAGGAAAACAGGGCAATGGGACGTGAATCTGTCCTTGAGTCATTCACAACACCTGGATATAAATGCAATTCACTTATAATACTTTGGGGTTTAATGTTCATTTGGTTTTATCTTCATAACTTGTCAAAGAAAGCTTTTATTACTTTTGGGTTTTTTCAGAGTTCTTAAGTCCTCTTTTGTCCTCTCTTCAGTTCACTGTAATTAGAGACTGCCGAGTTGATCTCCAAATCTCAGGAAACCCCACAGGTTGCCCCCCCACAACGCCTTTGAAGTTTCGAGGGTACTCACTAGATACACGAGAAAGGAAAAATCTAGATTCATTTAGCAATGCCCACCCAAGGCATACCTGGCAGATCAAACCCAGTGTAGATTTTGAATATGTAAACTTAGCTCATCCATGCCATCCCTGATTCTGCTGTACAGATCTTTAGGCCAGAAAAAGCCAAAATTTATCCCAAGATCATCTCAGATAACATGAAAGGGATGAGGATAGTTGTTCATTCCTCTAGATAACTGTGATTATAAGCCATGGCACTGTCTTGTGTGAAACTAGGGACATGCAAAGCAGGCTGAGTTAGTGAAAAACTGTTAGAGGTATTATATTTGGATACATTTGCAATTCAGGATCTTAAAACATTTCAGAACGAAACAGAAAAGACATTCAAGTCTTGCTGAGGAAACAAGTCTTGAATCAAATAATGTAAAAATATTTCCCACAATCCAATTTCTTTTTGAGAAAACACTATATTTGAAGAGGTGGAAGAATATCATTAAAAAGTGAACAAATGCAGCAAATGGATTCAGGTAAGTAGTTTTAGTCCTCTTCTGTTTTGAGCTCAAGTGCAGAGTTATTACGAGTGTACTCAGTCCTAGAGAAAGGTCACAGAATCAACCAGGTTGGAAAAGACCATATTTGGCATGGATGGCACTAGGAAGGCTGACAGGTTTCTAATTTTCAGGACCCATCTTACACTTCTTGGAGAGGCAAGAACCCCTGCTTGTATCAGGCACTCCCTGACTGGGATGTGTATCTGTCCCTGCAATGCTGCCTGTACAGATTAACGTATCAAAGCCAGTGCACGTTCATTTTAATTCCTGTGACTATGCCAAGCTGTAAATTGAGGTGGTTCATGAATCATTCAGCTGGAGAGGCAGCTTCCAGGAGAGAGGCAAGGCAGATGGTTATGACAGGTAAACCTCCCCAGCTACCCCAGGTTTAACTACCCCTCTAGGGCAGTATTCTTATTTACTCTGCCTACTGCAGTCCTGCAAAGACAAAATATTACTGCTCCCCTGCAGCTTGTTCAGATTTCCTTCTCCCAGGAGCTACTCAGAGCTGTCAGCTCACCCATATTTGTCCCTAACCAGATCCAGATGAACTAAGAAAGGAAAGCCAAACAGCTTCAGCTGTACCTTGCTGGTAAGAAAGTCCTCTTTGGACTGCAAGGGAGGAGAGCTTGTCTCAGCACCTGAGGCAATTATTCAGAGGCATATGGACTTGTAAGGGCAGGGAGTTTTCCCTGATATCAGCAGTAAATTATCCCAGAAGCCAGGGAGGAATGTGTTGTGTCTCACTTTCTCAGTCAATGAGCAGTGTACAGAAGTCTGAAGGCAGGAAAAAATGTGGGCGAAAGATGGTATGTTGCCTTCTTGTCATATGGTGTGGCTCACAAGCTAGCTCCTTGTCTCTGCAAAGGAGCAGTCCTGATCTGCCTTGTAAAGATTTTATCATTAAGAATTCTCCCCTGAGAAGTCACACTCCTTCATTTCTCTGTCTTCCAAATAAAAGGCTCTCCATCTCCTTCTCTATATGAGAGGGGAGGGCAGCTTCTCCCCAGGCTGTGATGCACAGTGCATGACAATTCAAGCAGCTCTCAGGGAGCTCTCCTACTCCCATAGTAACTCAGCCCTTGCCTATCTTCTAATCCCTGAGACGTTAAGAGCAGACACCCACACAGCTGCAGCTCTGGGAAATGATTTTGCATTGAGGGATCCAAGAGCTCATCAGTGGTACCAGGGTCCAGCTGTCTGGCAGTTCTCTGAAGCTCAGGAGCCCAGGATTGTCCTTGTGCTCTCCTGGGTCTCCTAAGATTCAAGAAAAATGTGAAGCATAGGTATGCACCCAAGGAGTGTCCCAAACCAGATGCCACAAAAGGACATGCTGCTTATGAATCAGCTCTGCAGTATAACACGAGTCTTTAAAACCAGTTAGCTGAAAAGCTGAGGGAAGCCTCAGAATTTGCTTAATTTGCATTGTATCAGTTTTGTAAATACCTCAGAAGGGATGTAGCCAGAAAACTTGTTTCTACCCTTAGATAACAGCTGCTTTACACAGTAATGAGCAAAAAGTGAAGGAAAGGAGAAAACAATGTTATGCAGTTGGGTTATGTCTCCTGCAGTTCAACTGAACAGCTCCCTGGTTTGAGCTCATGAACATTTACTGTACATTTATTTGATGGGCTTTGAGTAACTCTTTTCAGTCAAAGGATTTTTTTCAGCACATATGGGCTTCCAAATATAGTGAAACCAATTTGCTTTGAAAAGCAATATATCTGCTAAAGGGCAGTTTTATTTTCCTTTAGGTAAGGCTCAACTTTTATGCACAGCAGGATCCTGAAATACAAAGCCCACTAATTAGGGGAAGGGAGAGACAGCATATTAAAACTAGTTTAAAACTTGGTGAACTATTTTAAAATCTCTAAGGATCCTGACCTCAAAACCTTTTTACCATCTATTCCCAACTATTCAAGCTCTTGCCAGCACTTAAGCAAGAATGAGCAATCGCTACTTTATTAGCTATGTGTCTATTAAACAAAAAAAAAATGTTTATACATTTGAAGGATCATCTGTAGACATTTCAGCAAGTATACACTCAACAGTGATTAAAGAAAAGCAAGTCTGCCAAGAGGTCTGCTTAGTAAAGCAATGAGACTTTGCTGCCACACCTTTTGCACTGCCCCATTCATCTCTACCTGCCCCACATTTCAAGCCTTGCTCTCATGAAGAGTGGGAGTTTGGTTTTTTCCCTTTTTCTGCTGTAACTCTATAACTCTGGGAGCCAAAGCTAAAACCTGGAGTTCAGAGACTTCTAGGGTCCAGGTGCCGTGTCAGCCAGCTGAGGACCCCAGGAGCCAAAAACCTAGTCTGAGAGGGAAGTTTCCAAGAGTTTGCCAGTGGGAAGCATTAGCAGTGAGATCTTGCTGGCAGGATGTGAAACCTAAAGCTAAGCATGGTATGTGAAGTGTCAAGATGTGAACAAGATGCTCAGATCCTAATTATAAGCAGTGGGAATCAGGTTCCAGTTCATCCAGTTCATCTCCCCAGCATGACATCCTAGTGCTACTTAAGACACTCAAGAACAGCCAAAATACCCAAAGAGGGCTGACTGATGTGATGTGGATCTTAGGGAAGAACTCAGCCTCCTGGAGGGAGACAGGACATAGCACCAGAATAATTCAATAATTATTTGCTGCATTTAAGTACATGAACCTTGACCCTCCTCAGTCCAGTCAGCAGGGTCAAGGGGGTTCACCTACAACAGACACCAACATTTGGCCTGGTCAGTAGATCTCCTGGGTCAATTAACTGCATTGACAATATGGTTGTATTGAAATTAGAAAAAATTTTTACACTGAAAGCATGATCAAGCATTGGAACAGGCTGCCCAGCAATGTGGTGGAATCACCATCCTTGGAAGTGTTCAGAAAATGTGTAGATGTAGTGTTTATAGAGACATGTGTCTAGTGATGGACTTGACAGTGCTGGGTTAATGGTTGGACTCAATGATCTTAGAGGTCTTTTCCAACTTAAATGATTCTCTGAATTTCACTTTAAACATAGTAACAGAACCAAATTCCTACTCACCTCTGGAGTGTACATGCCTCCATTCACATGGAAACAGAGCGGCTGTGCTCTGCAGAAGGGAGGCACACAGCTGAATGAGGTCTAGTCTCCTTAAATGCTTGGTGAGGCTGGTAAAAGCGCTTTTACTCTTCAAAGTGATTGCTGTGCACAGTCATGAATGGGGCAACCCTGGGACAGAAAGGCCTGTACAGTAGATGGATGTGGTGACCACTCCCACAGGAAAAAGGATCCAGCTTCTGACCCTGGACTGTGGGGCTTGAGGTGGGTTTTTTGAATTTTTTTGTTCATTTGGCAAAGGAGGAGGAGGGTTAGTTGTGGCTGCAAAATGCACCATCAGTCCCTGTAACTGGAAGTGATGTCTGTCTGTTTTTCTCCCCAGGTGATTGACAGACAGTGTCAAAGGCTAGAAAGCTCAGTTTCCACTTACCTGCCCTTACCCTGTGTCATTACTATCCCGTGTTTCATTATGCTACAGCAGAATGGGAAGTTTTGGAGATTACACCTTACCTGGCCTCACATCTCTTGAGTCTGACATTCACAGTTACACAGTGAGGAAATAAAACTGAGAACTGTTTTCTGCATAAGCATCCTTGTTTCAAGAGACTACCAGGACAGAGAAGACATATTATTTGCTGGTGAAGGGATTCCCCAGCCAAGAAGCATGAGCAGTGCCCTAGACCACAGGAGGACACAACTGTTAAGATACAGCACATCATGCAAACGTGGTTCATGGAGTAATATTACACCAAAATAATGTTCTGACAGGGTATTATAGTTTTTAAATTATTGTATTCTGAGAGCCTCTCTGTAGGATCTGGAAAAGCTTCTTCTCCAAACAGAGAGGCATTCTGGACCTCAAAGATGCATCAAGTGTCGACAAAATGGAACCCACCCCCTCTGCAGTCGCTCGACAGCTAGGGCTTGTGCCACCTCCAGGACATTAAAAAGCTGTTACATTTCAGTTCTTGCCTTCCACAGCAGTTTGACCTATTGTCATTGAGCTAGAAAACATGGGGTTTTTTACTATTCAATGCCTGCCCCAGTAAATCAAGTTCCATATATTAACAAGAGGGTTAGAGTAAGTTAAATATCAACGGATGAATAAAATATGATGGATAATGATTTCTAGCTAACATAGACCTTTGTAATATTGTTGCATGTTTTAATAAACAGTCATCAAAATAATCTGTGAGGATAATGTGTATACTGAATGCATGCTTTGTGCCTTCCTTCTCCTGCCCCACTCCAAAAAACATTATCTGCTGCTGTTGTGCAGTGGCAAGCTCCACTGCATATGGAAGCAAGTGCTCCCCAGCTATCACAGACTGACATTCAGCACCTTCGCTGATGTGTAGATAATGTCAGCCTGGATAGGTGGCAGGCTGCATCTTGTCCAGCCTTCCCTGTGGTAAGGAAAGATAAGCATCTCCAACTGTCAAAATCCTTCTCCTTTCTTCTGTATGCAAAACTTACATCCCATTTGTGGCAGCTGAGGATGAGAGATATGCCCTTGGTTTAACATGCTTTGCAGTTAATCCTCTCCAAAGTGTGTTTAAAGCCAACAGCAGTAAGTCAGTATATTAAGGGATTTGGTCAGTGACCATATTTTAATGGCCATCAGATTGACGATGCCCCTCTTATTATTGTAATTCTCTTGTGGTATTTATGCATGCATTGCAGGTACAAGCAAAAAGGGAAGAGAGAATTTAATAAATCCTGGGGCCTGAGAGAAATGCAACCCTGGCCAGGAACAAAATGTGTGCTATTTCATTAGTTTTCGTATCATTACCTATCTCAATTTGCAGAAACAAGCTGCTTATAATTGCAACGAAGAGGCTGATATCTGATGGTTAGTATTTTAAGCACTTTGAATAGCACATGATGATATAAGCTGGAACTATTGTGCTTGCTCTAAACAGTGGCCTGTGGTGACATGGGCTGTTGCAAATCTAGCAAAACACAACTCCTAGGCATAGGTACTAGGTCATAATGCTAGTTAACTAGTGCTATAGGTACATTAACTATTTTGATACTAAAAGGAATTATTTTTGTTCCTGTTTTCTTGATGTTTATGTGATTTCACTGAGTGTACCTGTGTCCATATTTGCCTGAAACCTGTTGAGTCAGTAGCTAATTTCAAGCAACTTTGACTGACCTTTTAAGGGTATCCTACTTTTGCCAGCTCTGTGAACATTGGGTCTCTGAATAGAGTTAAAAGAGACACATTTAACACCCTGATGAGAGAAGAGGGGGAGATAAGAAAAGAAAAGGAAGGCCAAAAAGGGAAAAGGAGACAGAGAAATGTTCTTATCTTATTAGACATCAGCACACTTGCTGACAGACACAGACCTCGGTGTGTTCGCTGCTTGCCTCGTCACGACTCCTGGCACCACATAACCCAGCCTGCACAAAGCAGCTAAACAGCAGCAGCTGGACTTCATACCCTGCCAAGCACAGTTACACTCAACAGCACAAACACACCTGGACTTACCGCTCTGGGGTTCCCTGTGTTCTACTCTGGTGCACAAACCTCCATGGCCTGGGAGAGAAAAAAAATGCATGGAAAATCAGGGAGCTGGAAGAAAACACATTTAACTTCTCCATCTAGGAGCTGATTACTTTTAGCCACTGCAACAGCTTGTCACTGGTCTCTCCTGAGTATTCATGTGCCACTGGGCTTCAACCAGCAGGGCTCTGAGCAGCCCTTACTTGCAACCCAAGGCCATAAATTCCTGGGAGCAGAGAAAGGGACAAATTCAAATCTCCCACAGCCTGGTGGAGAGCTTTAACTGCTGAGTTATTGCACAGCAGGACAAGCATCTGCCTGCTTTACTAACAGAGAAGCTGCACAACTCCAGAATATGTGTTGCATCCCTCTTGGAGGCAGGCATTTGACAGCAACTGAAAACCAGGGTGCCTTTAGTAGCTCTGCTCTTGACACTTTAAGTCCCACAGATCCATTGGTGACATACCTTACCCTCTCTGTTCCTTGCATAGAGGATCCATAGAGGATCCACTCTGATGACATGGATTTCTCCAGCGAGCAGTGCCTGGCACTCACTCCCCAGTGCTAACACTATCCTGTTGGACAGGTATAGAACCATAGAAAGGCTTGTGTTGGAAGGGACTTTAAAGATCAAGGTAGTGATTCTGCAATTGAAGAACAGCCTTCCCAGTTCTTCATGCAGACTGAGGTGTGAGGACACCTCCAGAGATGGTCAGGTTCAACCCCCATCAGTCCAGATGTGTCTCACCAGGGCAGAGTCACTTTCCTGGACCTGCAGGTGATGCTCTGCCTATTGCAGCCCATGGTGCTGTTGACATTTTTTGTACATAGGGCAAATTGCTGGCTCCTGACAAACCTGGTGTCCACCAGGAACCCCTCAACCTTCTCTGCAAAAATGCTTTTGAGCCAGATGGCCCCTGGCATGTGCTGGTTGTTCCTCCCCCAGAGGGAGGACTTGACACTTTCCTTTAAACTTCTCAAGGTTCCTGACAGCCCATTTCTCCCACCTGTTGAGGTCCCTCTGGATTTCAGCATGACCCTCTGGTGCACCAGACACTCCTCCCAGTTTTGTACCAGCAGCAAAGCCTTTTTCTTTCCCACAGGCAGCACACTGCTGTGGGATGACTCTGTGCTTCAGTGTGAGCTGACTGCATTGCTTCAGCAGTTCCAGCCAGGGCTGAGCCTTCTCTTTGGGATGCTGTGGGCACCAAGAGGCCAGGGCAGGAATCTGGTCTATTTACTATTCCACAAGTAAAATTACAGTTCTAGACAATTTACAAATGAACACCCAATGTCTGAAACGCCTTACTTGTGCAAGCATGGAGACTGTGCCCTGAACTCTTTTTGTTTAGCTCATCTTTAACTGTTAATATCTGCTTTGCAACTACTCGTCTGAAAATGTATTTTATCAGAACCAACTGCTGTAGAGGACTGAATCAGTATTTTGTTGTGAGACATGCTAGATACAGCAGAAACCACATTTCTACCTCCAACACAAATGCTTGCCTCCCCCATCCTTATGCTTGTTCAGCCCCAACAATAAGTCATCTGTTTTTCATTGCTTTTTCCACAGGTAGCCACCAAAATCAGTATTAAAAAAAAAAAAAGAAAGAAAAAAAAAGGAAAAAAAAGTGGAAAAACCTCAGAATCTGAGAATTTTTAGTGCAGCGCTACTAGAAATATGGGCGTATTTTTAAGGCAGCTGCATTTGGCTAAGTTCATGCAACTAGAAAGGAAAAATATAGTGGGTTGTATTTTTTTCATTGTGACTGTCTGTTTTACCTTTCCACAAGTAATAACAGGTTCTAAAATGTTAGGGGTTTTTTTTTGCCTGAACACAGGATTTCATATGTACTTGTACCACAGAAGAGGTAAACAGAAATAATGGCATGTAAACAAAATTGCAAATGTGTCTGGGGGAAAGGTAGGGAATATGCCAAGTCTATAATCACACCTCTGTCAGCCTGGCTGCTCTCAGTTCAGATGGCAGGACAGTGCTCTCTAGGTATAATGGAGATCTATAAATAGCTGCATCATTATATAACCCAGCAGCAGTCTCATTCCCTTTCTAAATATAGGCTATGCAGCAAAGGACAGTCTGGTGATGTGTTGCTACTGCTACCGATTAATAGCATGACTCACACTGCCCAGCTAATAAAAATGAAATGTGTGCCTTGGAGGTACCGCACTGGATAGCTTATATTTATAAGAGGGAAGAAAAAAAGAAAAAAAAAAAAAAGATGTATTAGATTTGGTTTTGTGACCACTGGAGAAGAAACTGTAATCTAAGTGTATTCACAGCGCAGGGTAATAATGACTTCAAAGAAATGTGAAGCTGTCATTATTGAAATGTTTAATGGCTTGTGTTCTGTTCGTAAAAAATAGTTAATTTCATTTGAGTAATTAGTGCACATTCATTTGGGGGGTTATAATAATCTCACGTTTCCTAGTTCAGCATAGCTGCCATGCTTGGAATGGAGGTTCAAAGGTGGGTCATGTTTGTTCAGGACACACATGCTCAAGTGGGGGGAAGTTTTCTGTAATATATAAATACTCTTTACGGAAAGAGTTTTGAGATCAATGCAGCAAATTACATCTCAGACACACTTTGACCTTCAAACTGTAATGATCATAAATAGTGAGGCATGTACACGCTTGTTCAGACATGCTGCCCGTGTGCTCCCTCACATCCAGTCTGCAATCAATATTTCCTTTTCACACACACGAATTTTACATTCACCTTTTTGTATTTCCAGGTAGGGTGCTGTCTCTGCTGAAGGCCTTGCTGATGTCTTTATTTAATTACTTGGGGAAGGTGAATGTCTAACTCCAAATCGTGAATTTAACTTTGATCGAAAGTGCTGCACACAAGTCCCCTTATAGGTCAGTACACTGGTCTTTGCTCAGGAGGGAAGGAGCCTTCCGCAGTGAAATGCAACATCATTTTGTGCCCCAGTCTTCACCAATTTGTCCAGACTTTCATGTCTTTCTTTAGGAACAGTTTAATGGTCTTCCAGGAGCCTGACTATGCAGTAAAGCAGCTCTCAACAGGAGTTAAAGTCCTGAATTGATGTAACATCTGTTACTAGAAAGAAATTGCTTGGGGAATAGAAGGAACTCACTCCAGCATATGTATTACCTAGGGCAGTGAGGGGAGCTAAGCTAAGGTCTCCCATTTCTGTGGGGCAGCTCCTGTTGCTGGAACAAGGCCCTTTATGCTTCCCTGGCACAGCTGCTTCTCCTGGCAGCAGAAACAGTGGCTCTGCATGTGTGTCCCACCATATCCCAAAGCCGCCTTGCTCTCCTGCATAGTTCAGATGTATCTTGGGGACAACCCTTTGCCCTCCCCCTTTCTCAGTGTCTGGAGCTGGAGATTAATTTCTGAAAACATCTGGCTGATATCACTTGCCAGGTTCACTGTTTTGCTGTTGTGTAGCTCACTATAACCCAGAAGCAAAACCATACTGACCACTGACACAGCAGGCACCCAGGTGTTTCAGCCACTGCATGAAGCAGCTCTGAGGAGGGTTCCCCAGGAGATATCTGTTGGAGCAGCTGGGAAATTAGAGATCCATATGTACCTCAAGGCAGCTGAGGAAGGTCCTGGTGTGAACTAAAGGTACCTGCCTCAGCAGCTCAATCATCCCAGCACCCCCTTGCCACCAGCTCTTTGGCTTCC